TATAGATTGCTCAAAGCGGGTCGTTTACGAGCGGCCATCGCAAGAGCCCATTAATCAGAATCGATTTTGCAAAAATGTGTTAACAAACCAATATTTAGCCTTTTAGTATAGTAAAAAAATAATTACCTACATTTTTACTTCAAGGCATAAGCTTATGTTTATTTTGAAAAATATGGATGATCAATCTATGTAACTATCTATTTCATTGACCTTGTCAAATCACCAGGCCTACAGGGTTGCCATAATTTTGCAATATCAAACCTATACAATCTGTCAAAACCCACTGCTAACCATTTTGTTTGGAAATGCCTAATTGTAGTATTATACATTCCAGTGAAACACCCTGTATATCTAAATAACTTTTGACAATTTATATTATACAGTGTCTACCAAAAATTTTGCAGCACGAGGATAACTATTTATTATACATGGTGGTGAACTATTATAATTGATAATACATTATATATAAAATTAAATTTGGAAGACACAACCTGCAGAAAATATTTAAAACAGAAAAATAGCTGAAATAAATTTACAATCATAAAGTGCACCAAAGAGGTAAAATCAAGAACACTAAGAATATGCGCAATTGAGGGCCTACAAGCTCCAAATGAACACATTTTACAGGAATCTCCAAAAATGTAATTAATAATAGTTATAGTCACACAAGTAAGTAAGTAATTTTCAAGTAAAAAATATTAAATAGGAATAAATATCAGTAAAGAGTACAAAAAAAAATACATCCAATTTGAAAAATATTTATCTTAAAATATCCTGGCCTTCAGATAAATGATAAAAACATGACCCAGCTTAAAGGTTCATACTTCTCTTCAGAGTTAATGATATCAGGAAGTTGATTATAAAATTTAATTCCAACATATTCAGGCGATTTCTCAAATAATGTGAATGTCTTGGAGTTCTGAATAACTCTATTATTTAAATAAGATGACAACCAAGACAAAAAGTTACCTCTAAAACCAAGCCCTTCCAGGTTGATTGAATCAAACGCCTTTGATAAATCAAAAGTGTACTCTCAAACAACTTTTAATTAAGTATGTATGTATGAAATTGCTGCTCTTTCAATAGAAGGTATCCATTTTAATTTTTGCAAATAAAATTGTACACTTTGGAACTAATTTCATATAATTTAGTCACTTTATTTAGTTATGAAAAGTTAAATTTTCTACACTAAAAAGCATAAGTTATTGTACATTAAAATAATGCTGTATTTGAACTTAGTAGGGAACTAACTATGTAAAAACAAACTTTACCATAAATTCTTTAAAATTGGAAATTGTACACTTTAAAACTATAGCCCTCATTATAGCATTTGTAAAATACAATGAAAGTAAAACTAGTAGGTAGTATGAGCAAAATCTGATAATAAGACAAAAATAAGGTTAGTGGATACTCTGAAAGAAATGAAAATAATTCTTGCAATATTTACTTTTGTGTCAAAATTTGGATTTTACTTTTGAATAAAAATAATTCAACATACTAAGTAAATAATATTGATAAATAAAATAAAAAACTTACTTTACAAAAGGCTCCAGAAAAATGATTGCAATTATTGTTCATAAGGTGATACCTGTTGCCTCTAAATTCATTTCCCAGTTCATTAATAATTATTTTTACATCTCCCTCTTTAAAATCTGTATATCCTATGTGAATTGTTTGTCTATAATAATAAAAAAATTAGATAAAGAAATCACATTAATGGGGGTAATAAGTACCTAAATTTGAACTGGTCTCCTAATTCTTTCTCATCTCTTGGTATATTTTCAAAAATACCAGTAAATGAATATTGGTGCCCTCCATATGCATATTCTGTTCCATATATTTCAACACCTATAACAAATTTAGATATTTGCATTAAAATAGAAAGGTTAAATTAAAAGATAACAAAGTTGTTTATTAAAGATAAGCACATAAATTTACTACATTCTTGCATAGTAAGCAAACATATGTTTCTCAATTCAACAAGCTACATTATATAAACTTAAAGGCAATAAATTAGAATATCAAAGGTGATAATCTACATGAGCAATTTTAAAACAGCATACTAACCAGAATGAAATACACCTATTCCAATGTTGCTAGTAAATTCATTAATTTTGTACATGTCATAAACGTTTAATAACACAGGTTCCCGAGACATTTTACTTGGAAGTAGCTCATCGGAACCAGTGTCTCTAACGCTCATACAACTGAAAGGTAAGTTGCAGGTCAAACCATTTGAAAACATGCTAAAAATACAATTATTATAGTTTAAAATAGAACTGTAGACGATGGTGCTTACTCTTTATTTATAAATGATTGAACGAAGTCTACTTAATTAATTGTGTTGTTATTTCATTACAAATTATTCACTTGTTAATTTTGTATATATATTCTGGATTAATTATTATTTTACCAGGTTATATTTCCATTGTGATACAAACACAAACAACAACAGTGGATGGTGACAAACTTGACATTTTAATTAACTGAAATTCTTATAATAATAAAGGCCACTACATTTTTTATACCTATAGGTGTATTGTATTATTCAGCATATAAGTCACCTAAATTTTAGCTGTATTGTGTCTACATAAAAACCAATCTTCTTTAATACAATCTTGCCTTTTACTTAGTATTGTTTTCGGTAAAGAGTCTTTTACTTTTCTGTTATTTGGAATTCCGTTGCTGGTTGTTTTTATATAGAAAAAGAAGAATCTTCTATTCTTATGCTTTTTTTTAGGTTTATAAATTGGTCTTGAGCTTCGAGGCACTTCGGTCTGGCCCTGGTATTTTCAATTTTTAGTTCAAGTTCAAATTTTAACCATGCATTAAAATTGATTAAAATAAAAAAATAAGGTTAAAAATATAAGTAAATAGAGAATAAAGAAAATATGGACATAACTGTGAACTATAAAGGAGGAGGTTCATTTGTAAAACTTCCTCCACAATTTTCTTATGATGGCCAGTAGGTGTAATCTTTAATAATACATAAAACATATTTATATAATTTTGTTACAGGACCATTTTTGTGTGCTCGAAAAACTCTATTTTGGAATATAATACCAAAACTGCCAAACTCATACATGAATATAAAACTAAAGAAAGAGTAGTTGGATTTAGTTATCATGTTTATGAATCCTTTAACTGTATAACCGCTTGTTGCCAAAATGGTAAAATAAGTACCTGGAAATTAATCACACACTCTAAAATATCAGAAAGGGTAAATAATTAGTTTTAATTACTCATTAATTATATATAATTACTGTACCGATTTACAAATCAAATGTAACTAATTACAGGCCAATATGCATTCAAAGTGTGATTCCTAAACTCTTTGATAGTATTATTACAAAGTATTTATCGAAACTGCTTGATCCTTTCATCATAGATCAGCAGTTTGGTTTCCGTTCCAAAAAGTCCACTGAACTTAACCTGTTGTCTTATGTTGATTACTTATCAAATGCCTTGGATTTTAATGATCAAGTTCATGCTATATACACTGATTTTTCAAAGGCATTCGACAGGGTTAACCACAGTTGCTCGATTGGAAAGCTTAGTAACATTGGCATTGGTGGTAATCTTCTGAAATGGATCGATTGCTTTATAACAAATCGCATTCAAATTGTTCGTGTTTCTGGCTTCTTATCCTCTGGCTTTACCGCTACATCTGGTGTCCCTCAAGGGTCACATTTGGGACCTCTACTTTTTAATATATATATATATAACAATGATATACAAAATTGTTTTAAGAATTCTCTTGCTTTGCTGATGATTTAAAATTATTAATGTGTGTAAATTCCTTACATGATTGCATTTGCCTTCAAAAAGACTTGGATAACTTGGTCAAGTGGTGTAGTACTAATGGAATGGAATTAAATACAAGTAAATGTCATGCAATCAATTTCAACAGAAAACATAGTCCTATTGAATATATCTATAAAATCAATGACACAACACTGGATACTGTTACAGAGGTAAAAGATTTGGGTGTGATATTAGATTCCACCCTTTCTTTTCAAACTCATATTACGGCCTCAGTTAATGAAGCATTAAGAATGTTGGGTTTCCTTAAAAGAACTACTTCTGATTTTCATAATGTGATGTGTTTAAAGATTCTTTATTGTGCCTTAGTTAGACCTTATTTTGAATATGCTTCTTCTGTATGGAATCCTTTGTATGTATCCATAATATAGAATAGGTTCAAAGAAAACTGTTACACATTGTTGCATTTGAGACCCTTCTGAGCAGAAGAAACCAAAGAGATCTTAAAATATTGTTTAACATTATTAACTCATCTGCCGATTGTCCCTACTTGTTATCCCAAATTGGATTTTCTGTACCCTCTAGAGTAACTAGGAATATTAATACATTCTCCCAACCTTTCCATAGAACAAATTATGGTTCTCACTCTTTTATTCCTAGAGTGACAAGATCTGCTAACAGACTAAATGTAGAATGGATTACTTCTCCATCAGATTTTTCTAACCATTTATGTATATGTGAGGAGTAGATTTTTAATTGTTTTTAATATTTATGTATTTAAATTAATTTATTATTATTTAGGATTTTATTACTATTTAATGTATGTAATATGTATTATCTGTAATTGTATTGTTTTAATGGGATCTGACCCATAAATAAATAAATAAATAATAAGATTTAAACTTTTTTAGGCACTTCCTGCTAGAAATATTAAAACTTTTCATATTGTTCCATCAGAAGAAGAACATTACAATGCAATATACTCTTATTTAAGGGATGATATTGTTCATTTTGCTTTATGGAATTCAGCAAGTAAAAAATTAAAATATAGAGACTACAAATTGAAACTAAAGAGTCCAGATCCTTATTTTCTTGCTATTGGTAATAACTTCTTTGTCGTTGGAGTGAAAAATGAAATTTATTTTATTAAAATGGATGATTTTCAATTTTTACAAAAGTAAGTTCTGTAAGGTAAAGGGGGCAAGTGTTACATTATGGGCCAACTGTATATGTAATGATGCAGGCATAAATAATAATAATAAGATTATTAAGTATTTTATATTTTTTTTTTCAAGATGTTTTATTGGAAGCAATAGAAACTTCACTTGCCTAACTTGTCACCCAACAGAAGAAGTTATTCTGGCAGGAGACGATACTGGTAGAGTAGTAGCATGGCAAGATTTATTTTCGAAAAAGCCAAAACAAACTGTTTTCCACTGGCACACGCTCCCTGTGAATACTGTATCATTCTCAAATTCCGGTAGTTATTTCTACAGTGGTGGAGGGGAATCGGTACTTGTAAAATGGTTGTTTGAAAACGCAAGTGATAGAAGATTTGTACCACGTTTACCTGAAGAAATAACCCATATTCAAGTTGCTAGTAATAATCTATATATTGCCGTTGCGACCAATGATAATGCCGTTAGGATTTTGGATAATACATTGAATCAAGTCAGTTTAATTCAGCATTTGGTGTTAGCCAATCATTTTGACAGTGGGATTGTTCATGATTTGAGGTCTAGGTCTTTAATTATGAATGGAAATCAAGGTCATATCCAATTTTACTCACCAGATGATATGTCTTTGCTTTATAGCGTAAGTAATCATTTATACAGGGAGGTTTTGCCAATAAATGCTTTGATCTAAATTTAATTTTACAGAAACAAAATGTAAGTATTCTATGTGTTACTGAACATTGGCTTAATTCTAACAATTTACAAGCTACCTCAATTGACAATTTTAAGCTAGTATCATATTTTTCACGGATAAATAAAGAAAAAGGTGGTACTAGTATATTTATGAAAACAAGTATTGCTGCAAATTTTGAATCAATTAATTTACATAGGTGGTGTATAGAAGGTGGAAAAATAAAGATCGATTCTAAACTTTTTTTATTTATTATTACTGTGTATAAGCCACCTTTTACTAAGTTTAGCACTTTTATAAATCAGCTAGAGCTATTAATTCATAATATTTATCAAAACGACAATCACTGAAGGCAATCAAAAAAACTGTTTTAATTGACTTATTGAAGGAATTTAATATTAAACATCATATAAATGTTGCAACGAGAACAACAAGTACAACCTCAACTTGTTTAGATATTTTTTTTTAACAATTTTGATGTAGATAAGGTGGTTGTATATGATACTTTTTTTGTCTGATCATAACTACTTATTATGTTCGATTAAACTACCTAATTTTGAAAATAACGAATTTAAATACAGATATAAACGAGATTTAAGTGATCCTAACACAATAACTTTTATAAATATTTTATCAGTTGAAAATGGCCTGAAGTATAGACATTACTAATTTTAATGATACATTTTCTATCTTTTATGAATCATTCCTATACCACTACAATATTGTATTTACGAAAACAAAGAAAGCGATAAAACCACCAAAATTAAAAAATCAATTTCCACCTCATATTAAAGAGTTACATAATCTATTATGTGAAATGAACAGGTTAAAGAAATAAATAAATACATATTATACAGAACGTTACAATAATTTAAAAAAAGAGTATCAAAAAATAACAAAACAATATTTAAGATGAAAAAATAATGATCGTATTTTAAAAAGTAATAACGTAATGAAAGAATCCTGGAATATAATAAACGGGAGTAGGGGAAAAACAAAAAACAACTTATTGAATCCTATTAAACTTACAAATTAACACCCTTAGAAAAAGTAAATTATATTAATGTAAATAAAAATAATATTGTACCTAACTATACTATGAGTATTGATAAACATCATAAATTTTTTTTTCTTTTTCTAACTCCTAGTGAAATCATCACTATAATCAAAAAAACTACTTCTAAACCCACTGAAGGTATTGACGAAATAAATGGTAAAATTCTGTTATCGGTTGCTCATTGTATTGCTGAACCCATATCACATTTGATTAATAAATCCTTTGTTTCGGGATTATTCCCAAATATGAAGGAATTCCTGTTTATAAAAATAAGGGATCTGCATCTAATATAGAAAATTATCGTTTAATCTGGATATCTAGTCAAATAACTAAAATATTTGAGTCAGCATAATTTATTAGACTCACTAATTACCGTTTTAATATGTTGCCAGATACTCAAAATGGATTTAGAAAAAATAAGTCAACATCTACTGCAATTGCAGCTTGCCTAGAGTTTATATATCAAGCACTCAATGATAAAAAATATATTTTGGGACTCTTCTATGACCTTAGCCGTGCATTTGATATGGTGGATCATTATCTTTTATTATTGAAGATGAATGGGTTAAGAATACGAGGGAAACCTTATGAATGGATATAGTCTTACTTAATTAATCGAACTCAAGTAATTGTAACAAATAGTCTAAAATCTGATCCTCTGCCATGTACAATAGGAGTTTCCTAAGGTTCAATTTCGGACCTACTTTTTTTTATAGTTTTTATAAGTGATATAAGTAATTTTTGTTTAAGCTCTCAACAAATAGTTCAATATGCCGATGATACCAATATTGTAATGGCAGATAATCAAATCAAACAGGTCACTCAAAGTAGCAACGAGGCATCTCGTGAGTTTAACCAGTATTGTAAAGATAACGGTCTGGCATTAAATGTAACAAAAACAAACTTCATGCAATTTCTACCCAAAAACATATTACCAGATTACGAACCCTACTTGCACGTTGACGGAAAAACTATTCAAAGCGTTGATGACATAAAATTTTTAGGAATAATATTAGATCCCAAATTAAATTGGGAAGCTCATATAAAAATGGTAACTTCAAAATTAAGTACTTGTTATATCATCAAAAATTTAAGGGAGACACTATCTTTTGATACTTTAAAACTGTGCTATTTTGGTTTGGTTCATTCAACTCTACAATATGGGTTAATATTTTGGGGTTCTTCACCATACCTTGAAAGAGCTTTTGTATCTCAAAAGAAGGTTCTGAGAGCCATGTATAGGGTGACACCAACATCATGTAAAGAACTTTTCAAGAAAACACAAATTTTAACACTACCTCCCCTTTTTATTTTTCAACTAATTTTATACATAAAAGATAATGAGCATATATTTAAGAAAAATAAAGACCTGCACTCATATGATACTAGATTAAAATTTAACATCCATCAACCTTTTTCACGACTATAAATAAGCCAGCATTCACCAAATTATACTTGGATTAAGTGTTACAATAAGTTCAGTAACATATTAGAAGATACTACAGGTTATCATCAAATTAGTCTTAATGATTTAAGAAAGAATCTTAATTATTTTTTTTGTAAATAATGTATTTTATAGTATAGAAGATTTTTTGAACTTTTAAACTAATCTTAACATGAATTGTCTATTATATATATATATATATTTTTATTTTTTAATGTATTTTACTTAACACTTTTTTGACTAGTCTGATAGGATTTTACATTATGTACCTAGTGTCTTTGTATAGTGTATAATTCTCAAAGATGAATAAATTCTATTTCTATATTTCTATTTATTTTTCCATTTGCTAAAGTGTCAAGGTTTATAATTATTTTAGGTCGACATTGCTGGACAAAATAGAATAACAAACGAACGTGGGATTCAGATGGTTAATACAGAAATCAAGAAAGTCGCAATAAGTAAAAGTGGATTGTGGTTTTCGACTGTTGAAGAAAGGAAAGATGAAGAGTATTGCGATGAAATTAGGTTGAAATTTTGGAAATTTGACGAATCGAAACAACAGTAAGAATCATTTTACACAAACAAAGCTTTAATTTTTTGTAATAACAACTATTTTTTATAGATTTCATTTAAATACTTCAGTTGAATATCCCCATGAAGATAGTATTAATAGTATGTTATTTGCACCTTCGCAAACTGATGACAATTTACATTGCATAACTATTGGAGATGATAAAAAGTTTAAAATTTGGAAAATTACTGAAACTGAAGTGCTATCAAGTAAATATAATTTCATTTATTTTTTAATTGAAGGGCACCCAAATCTGTTAATATCTGATGGTATTACTAATAATATGAAACATTTTTTAGGCATACAGTTATCATGGAAATGTTACGGCGTCGGTTTTTACAGAAACTTGCCCTGTAATTCGTTATCATTTTCTATAGACGGTTCTCTTTTCGCCACAGGATTTTCGGACATCCTAACGGTTTGGACGCCCGATACTTGCGTCCTAAAATGTTCATTAATCCATCCAATCCACAAGGAAACCATCAGAAACGTACAATTCGGTAATGGGAATCAGTGCCATCTACTGGTGGCCGCGAATAGCGGCAGAGTTAGCGTTTGGAATATTTTAACTCTGTCTATGATTTGGACCGTACCTATACAAGTGTCGTTTTTGATTGCCGATTCCTTGTCGACAAATATGGCTGTTATTACGCCAGATAGAAAAGGTATTTTGAACATTTTCATTTTTAGATTAATTATTAATAAGTTTTTTTTGTAGTTTTTGTTTTTTCGCCGAATTCAAGTCAGCCGCTATACGAGAATAATACGATATTGAAGAAATTCAAATCTATAAAGGCTTGTAATTTCGTTCCTAGTAGGAATATAAACGATTTTCGGTTAAATTGGTATGAAAGGACCCAGTTGTATTTTATCACTTCTGAAAATGTAAGTGTAGGCTTTTTATTACAAAAGTCATCATAGTACTACTAATTAAAATTTCTACAATATAATATAGTAGTTAATGGAGCTTTTAATATTCATTATGAAATCAGCCCTTATACATTTAAAATTAATTGTTCCTATACTCTGTTTTTAAACTAGGAGGAGCGAATTGAAAAGACGCATTTACACAGGGAAAAGTAACTAGATTTGTTACTAAGAGCGAGTTTCGAAATATAGTCGTGTATAATGATTTGTGTATTTGTGATGAGATTGCTGATTTACAACATATATTTTTGGATTGTATTCTAAACGATTTAGAAATTAATTTATTATACCAAAACTTAATTAACAACAAAATTCAATTACCTATAAATTTAAAAAATCTACTGACATTTGACAGTATATATAACATACTCTATAATTTTGTCAAAACACTCAAATTAAAATTGTAATTAGGAAATAGAAATAAAACATGTAAGTAGCGATGCTACCAATAAAAAAAATTTGTACACCTGACTCGAAAAAATTGTTAAGAAAAGAAAAAAAAAATAAAGAGAAGAAAAAAAAATGAAAAAAAAAACAGAAATAAAAAAAAAAAAAACAAAAATAAAAAAAAACAAAAATAAAAAAAAAAAAACAAAAATAAAAAAAAAACAAAAATAAAAAAAACAAAAATAAAAAAAACATAAATAAACAAAACATCTAAACCTTATTAAGTTCAGGTTATTTTTAGTTATTAAGGTAGAGCAACTTTAATATAATTTGTAAAGTAATAAAGTTTGTTATATATTTTTATTTGTTCACCTGACAATTGACTGGCCTGTTGGTTTATATCCAGTGCCACTAACTTAGTTAAAAAAAAAAAAAAAAAAATTTATGAAATAATTATCTTTATTGGCCTTAGTCGGCGAACGGCCAATGAGCGGTTAAGAAACGAATAAATGTCATAGAAGTAATTTTTTAATTGGTCCCAGACAACGGTCGCAAATTTCACATTATTGTGATCTGAAATGTGTGTCTAAAACGAAATGTCACTGTCAAATTAAAGTCAATATGGTTGTTGATTGATGTCAGAAATACTTTTTTCTTGCTTTTGAAATCGACTTTTTGAGAATAACTATGATCTTTTTAAAATGGATATTAAATATTTAAGAAAATTGTTAATGGAATATCCAGATGTAGCCAGGTTAGTATAAAATATAAAGATCTGTTTACATTTTTAAGGATAATTTGTTATAGGTATAAAAAGTAAAAGTTAATCATTAAATGACAAGTGGATCACACAGTAACTGGTATCTCTTCTATGAGTAATGTGGATATTATGACTTATTTAGTGTTAACCCATGGTTAATGCGCTAGAGGGCAAATAAAGGTATTCAAAAGTTTACAGGCCTATGAGTCAGAATTTGTTTTGAAAACTGGAACCAACATTTTCATAGCACTACACGTCAACATATATTTTTTAAAATGAACTATTCATACATACCTATGTATTAATTTTAAGTATTTTTAAAATATTTTTTGTGAAAGTAATGTTAACTCATTGTGCCAAATTAAGATTATCCCTAAAGTAGTAGATGGTGTTTTAAATGTTATAACAATTTTGTAAATAGTTTTATTCTATTCTAATAAATAAAATTTGCTTAAATATTTAGTTACATTTTAATTATTTTGGTTAGAAATTCATCAATTTTTAGTTTTAAAAAATCAGTAATAAAATTATTTTTTTCTAAAATACTTCGGAATTCATCTCTTCATGGTAATCTCCCATCTTTTTACCTTCAAAAAACAATAATGCATTTTCTACAAAACCTTCAGAATCAGCATGTAAAATAATAAGGTGTCTTCCCTTTCTTGTAAGGCTTTTCAGGAATTGCTACCTTTAATAGTACTCAGTGTAGAAGGATCCATAATTGTAGATTTTCAATACAATTGCTTACTGAAGAACTATTATTTACGAAATAAAGTAAAAAACTAAGTAATGGATGAGATATCAAATTATAAAATGTCAGAACTGTCAACAATATCAATTATTAGCTGATTTTCATGCTAAAAAGTAATGTGTGAAACTGACTGTAATCTGACCAATCAGAAGGCTACAGAATTGCCAACTTAAATTCAAATCGCTCCTCTTAGTTTAAAAACAGAGTATAGTAACGTTGCCCAACAAAATGTATTCTTACATTCCTCGACTATTCTGACAATTAGGCAACACTGCATGATTGTGATCGATGTTTTTTATATTGAAAAGCCTCATGAATTTTGTTTTTTTTTTAAGGAATTGCATTGCTTATGCGAAAATGAACTGATTCCAGAAATAACAGGAAGCGAATTTATAGAAGACAGATCTATATCCATGTACGAAAAGAGCCTACCCAGAGTCAAAACTGGACCAGTAGCGTCGATACAGGCTAAAAATCATTTGTACGAAAAAGATCCAGGACATAAAACATTCAAAACGGTAATTATGAAACCTTGTCTTAAATATTCATCTCTAATTTTACTATGATTTTTTTTTTTCAGTTTTTGGAGAGCCCTATACATACATTGGCACCAATCAGGTTTTCTTGTTATTCTTTGATTAGATCTCTTGTTATTCAAGAAGAAAAGTGATTTAATTAAACATTTTTTATATTTAAAAACTAGTTTCATTTCCGAATTAAATCTTTAATTTCTAATAAACAATATAGCTTTAGAAAAGGTATATCAACAATATACGCTATAACTAATTTGACTTCAAAAATTTACAAATTAATAGATACCCAGACAACACACCAAATCTCAGAGATATCCACAGAATATCTTTTGTGGATATCCAATATATCCACAGGATATCAGAAATATTCCGTGGATCTAATATGGATATCCAGAATATAGAAGATATCCTAATGGATATCCAGCAAAATATCTAATGGGTATCTTCCAGAAAATACAAGAAATCCCAGAGATATCCACAGAATATATTTTGTGGATATTCAATATATCCAATATGGATATCCAACCAAATGTCCGTCTATATCCCAGGATATAGAAGATATTCGGATATTCAGCAACATATTTTATCTTTAGTAGAGGTTCATAAGTAACCAATGATTATTGAATAACGTCGAAAGAAAATAGCAGAGATAAAAAATATTTTCAACACTCTGCCTTTGATTTTGCCCATTCTCGACTCCAGTCTCTAATGGAGTCTGATTAGGACACACATTTCGATCGAACTCAATTACGGCGGGTCGAGCATGAGTAGATGCGAAAGTGGTATCGCCATCTATACTTAGTAAGCAAAATCAAATAACATCTAGTGGATATCCACGATGGTTTGCGTTTGCGCCTAGACTTTGATATATTTAGTGGATGCCCATGGGATATTGAATACACCTTAAAAAAATTAATTTTAAATATCTGAACGGTACTATTAGCCACAATGGCGTAATTTTTTAATAATTGCTATATAATTACTATTATTTATTAGAGCTGTGGCAAACCGTATGTATTCGTTACTCAGTAACGGGTAGTCGGTCAGATACGAAATACGAATTCGTTACTGCATTTTAAATTTCGTTACTCGCATCCGCATCGTCGCATAACGCACAATAATAATACTTGAGAATACATATATACCGCCACCGGTTCGGTGTGCAAGATGCGAGATGGCCCGATGGGCGATGCGAAATGCGAGTGTGGCCTTGATGCGAATCGACTATCGAACCGCACGTCGACTGGGACTCGAAACGTACTTTTGTTTATATTTATGTATTTATTTATTTCAGTTTTAAAGAATAGTATAATAGTTGTTTTTCTGTTGCGTGTTGCAAGAATATAATATGTTTTTGTTTATTAAAGTTATGATTTTATAGAGTATTATTATTGTTTCTACTACCCAGACAACACACCAAATCCCAGAGATATCCACAGAATATATTTTGTGGATATCCAATATATCCACAGGATATCAGAAATATTCCGTGGAACTAATATAGATATCCAAATGTCCGTCTATATCCAGAATATAGAAGACATCCTATGGATATTCAGCAAAATATCTAATGAGTATCTCCAGACAATACAAGGAATCCCAGATATATCCATAGAATATATTTTGTGGATATCCAACCAAATATCCGTCTATATCCCAGGATATAGAAATTCAGATAAATATTTTATAATTATTTTTAGTAGAGGTTCATAAATAACCAATGGTTATTGAATAACGTCGAAAGAAAATAGATGTAAAAAATATTCCCAACAATCTGCCTTTGATTTTGAAAATCATCCTTATTAGGAATCTTCAGCAATAAATGGAACTTCTCAACTTCAGTCTCTAATGAAGTCTGTTTGTGAAACAATGTCGATCAAACTCAATTACGGCGGGTTAAGCATGAGTAGATACGAAAATGGTATCGCCATCTATACTTAGGAAGCAAAATCAAAAATTACATCTAGTAGATATCCACGATGGTTTGCGTCCGCGCTTAGACTTTGATATATTTATATTTATAGTGGATGTCCATGGGATATTGAATACACCTTAAAAAAAATTAATTTTAAATATCTCAACGGTACTATTAGCCACAATGGCGAGTACAATGGCGTAATTTTTTAATAATTTGCTATATAATTACAATTATTTATGGACATTTGCATGTCTATAAATTACATTTCATGGATATAAAATAGATATCCACCATGGACTGGACATTCAGTGGATATTGGGATGTTCAGTAGATATCCAAAGGATTTGGTGTGCTGTCTGGGTAGTGTGTTAGAAAAATATATATGTTTCTGTTCAACCTGTCTGACGATATTTTATTTTGCAAAACTTCACATCAGTTCTCATTGCTCATGCTCAGTGAACTACACGACTTTGTTACTAATTACAAATTCCAAATTCGCTATGTATTTATTTAACCAACGATTCGATATCTAATTTCATCCGCACCCTCTGTTAGACAGTACCAAAACCTAACAACCGAAGCAATGCGTACGTACGATTAGTTACCGACACCAATTCCGCATCCGCATAGACGTGTATGAGGTCCACACGATGCGTGTTCTGTAGATTCGTATCACAGTAACGAAAGTAACGAGTAACGAATATTTTTATACGGGTAGTCAGATCCGAAGTAACGAATACATACGGGTATTGATTTTCTCGTTACTTTTACAGCTCTATTATTTATGGATATTTATTTGCATGTCTATAAATTACATATCATGGATATAAAATAGATATCCAACATGGACTGGACATTCAGTGGATATTGGGATGTTCAGTAGATATCCAAAGGATTTGGTGTGCTGTCTGGGTACAGGTAACCCCACAATAGGTATATTCCTAGATTTGGCCAAGGCGTTCGACACAGTGTCACACAGTTGTTGGACACTTTGGAAAATATAGGAATTAGAGGCATACCCCACCAACTAAAGACAAGTTATCTTGAACATCGAATTCAAAGAGTCAAAAATCAGCAATCAATTTAGTGATCTAAATAACGTATAGTATTGTGTGCCTCAAGGAACTATTTTGGACCCACTTTTATTTTCACTTCATGCAGTTTGCTAAATCTAGAAATATCTGGAGAAATTATTGTTTTGCTGAGGACACAGTTATTCCGCACAGTTCTCACACATGGCAAGAACTGAAACAGAATATCGAAGCGGATATGATAAAAAGTTGTATCTTGTTAAGTTTCTTATTTTTTAATTACGTAAAAGAAAATCGAAAAAACGAAAAATCGAGTAGACTAGCTGCTAACTGCTCATAACTGATTCTATCTCTTTTAGACACAATTTCGGAAAAATTGAACTTGAAAATGAATAATGATCCACAAGAATCCACAACAAAATATGGGACCACCATTGACGCGGTATTTTCCAGATATTTAGAGGATATCAAGTCTCAAACTTATGTTTCTTATTTCAGTTACCATAAACCTATAGTTTTAATGATAAAAATTCCTAAATAACCTACATGTATTGTAAGATAATAAAACTATTTTATACAATATTAATTTCTCATTTATTCAATAAAAGAAAACAATTTGTTTTTTTATCGGTCACCACGCTCAAAAAGTGTAACTTGAATTAATATCAAAGAAAAAAAATACTGCATAAATAAAATAAATAATTATAATTGCATTAAGTTGATAAAAAATGCTATACAATAGCTTTACCGCGGCAGTCCCCGAGTGCTACACGTATTTTTTTATTATTTTCATGTCGTCCCTATATTGCTACTATTTATCTGCAATCTCTAGAATGAACTATGTATCCGCAATCTCTAGAAGACTACCTAATACTAATTCTATATATCTAATTAAGTATTGTCCTTTGATCAAAGTATGGTATTTTTAATTGAGGTATTATATTTCTTATTAACATTCATTAGTTGCAAATAAACAAGTTCAACCCGTGCACAACCATTGGTTTTTACGGGATCACCATTTATTTACATATCCCATTTAAAAATAAATTTGTATTTTTAATTTTTTGTAAATAAACATTTTTATTATTATATATCAAAATTAGAAAAATACTTTTTGTAGATTACCAGCAAAGAATATATTAAATATTCTTCACATGCTTTTAGGATATAACTCGGATATAAATCGGACCTTTTTTGAAAATTGATTTATCAAAATAATAGAAAAAAAATTCTTTGGTATCAAAATTTTATATAAAACTAAAATTAACTATTAAAATTCCTAAAGCAATGTGTTAAACAAAACCCAGGCTGGTTAGGACATTTACACCAATAATGTTGTTTCAGTGTCCCAACAATATTTACATCTTCACTGTTTGGTATCTATTTGCAGTATTATGGTAAACGAACTATCTCAGATATTCTTTCTAATTCAGGCACCATCTCAAAAATATATGAAACTTGCTAAATACAACTAATATTTCACTAACATGCACTTCTAACAACTATCCTGCCACCAATGGCGTTATATGGTTTCCCTAATTCTGCACTCCCTCTAAGTCTACAAGTTATCTTGAGGCTTTAAAAACATTCAAATCCGCACGTACTAATGTTAATATACAAGTTAAGCTTGCACATTCTCAATATGCTGAAAGAATGGAAAATAATATTCAGGAAAACCCTCAGAAATTTTGGACATACGTAAACTCTTTTAAGAACTCCTCAAGCTTTCCATCTTCAGTACAAATTAATAATGATGTATTGGATAATCCATTAGATATTGTGCAGGCATTTGCAGAGCATTTTTCAAACATTTTTACATTACCAACACGTACTATCGCATCTGTTCAATCAACTTCTGTTAATTTACCTATTTTATCTATAAATTATATATGTATCTGATAAAGAAGTGGTAGACGCTATAAAAATATTAAAGCCAAAAATGACAATGGGACCCGATTATATATACCTTCCTTCTTCATTAAAGATTGCGCACACATTCTTTCAACCCCACTGTGTACTATTTTTAATTTAATATTGAAAACAGCCATGTTTCCTGATCTATGGAAATTATCTTGCGTTACACCAGTTTATAAAAAGGGAACCAAAGATGATCTTGACAACTATAGACCTGTTAGCATACTTTGTAATTTCTCCAAAGTATTTGAAATCATTCATACATACTTATCTAGACATCTTTCGGGTTAAGGGTAGGTCCACTGTGTCGAATTTTGTGTGGAAAACACAATTTTTGGCAGGCTTTAGATAGAAGAAGTCAGGTCGATGTTATCTATACCGACTTTTCTAAGGCATTCGATAGAATTGATCATCAAATCCTATTACAAAAATTAAAATCTAAGCGACTATCTGATCTTCTTTAACTTTATCGATTCTTATTTAGAAAATAGACGTCAGTACGTGCAACACCAAGGATTTAGATCAAACCATTTTAAGCAAATTTCAGGTGTACCGCAGGGTTCGGTCCTTGGGCCCCTTCTTTTCATAGTTTTTATTGATGACATTATTGGCAAAAGCACAGAAGTAAAATACTTAATGTATGCTGATGATTTAAAAATGTTTGCTGAAATACGGAACTTTGTTGAATGCACAGCTTTACAAAGTTGATTAGCTGAATTATTGCTATGGTGTACTAAAAATTATTTGCATTTGAATCCTGGTAAATGTAGTGTTATGACATATACTAGGAAAAAATCATATTTTATCTCTGATTATCAGATCAATGGCACTGTGTTAAGTAGGCCGGAGATTATAAAGGATCTGGGAGTCCATTTTGACAGGGAATTAACTTTCGCAAGGCATATTGAGCAGACAGTTATGTGTGCTTCACGGAGTCTTGGTTTTGTAATTCGAAATTCCAAACAATTTAAAAATATACATACAATTAATGAAGTTATTATTTATTAGTTTTGTTAGATCTAGACTTGAGTATGCGTCAGTTGTATGGAATCCATCACTTAACATTTATAGTAGCGTTATTGAAAATGTGCAAAGAAAATTTATGAAGTCCGCATCATATCTTCTAGACAATATTTATTCTACTAGAGGATTTCCTCATGATCAACTGTTGTCGCGCTTTGGTTTAATGGAACTGCACATACGCCGTAAAATGCAGCTAGTTTCATTCCTATGGGATATTTTACATGAAGAGGGCTAAACTGCATTGAGCTTCAGGATTATATCAACATTAAAGTACCCCGCCCTCGCCTTAGAATATACTTAAGCTTTTACTTGCCAGCAGCAAATACAAATATTTTGAACGGTTCTCCAATTTTTCAATTGATCAATAATTATCATCGCCTTCAAGACAGTTTGGATATTTTTAGTTGTAAGAAAATAGATATTTTTAGAGCTATTACTATAGAAACTGAGTAGGTATTTATCCTGCTTGGTACGTTGATAATATATCTTTTGTGTGTATTTATTTTATTTTAATTTTTTTAAATTTGTTTTATGCTCCTTTAAGAACTTAAATATAACTGAATATTTTACCTTTAGTTTTCCTTAAAAATAGGCTTTATTGTACATTTGTTTCATGTTCAGTCATATCTAATGTTCTTAACTCGTTTGTGATGTATATCATTAGTATATTGTATTTGTTTTTAATTTATGTTCATCCCATTCTGTAATTGGTTTTTAACTGTTGAGTGGTGTACTGAATAAATAAAATAAATAAATTCTTACTACGAAATTATGACAAATACACCTCCATAGTGCTCTTAGCAATTGAGCTATCAAAACCGTTAGTTTTGAAATCCGAACTCGTAGATTTGAAGTCAATGAGATTCTGATTCTCGTCGGCGCAAACACAAATTCTAATCCCATCCCAGCTCTCTCGATTTTTTTTAAAGCCATCCATGTGACATCTTGAAGAAAGAAGACAATTTACACTTACAAGTCTTATCTGAGTGCTCAATACAAACTCGTGCCCGTTTGTTCAGCTTGATATAAAACTCAATATATTCCGAACGTATTATCCCCATTGCGGGCACATGGATTAGACTCAGCCAAATGCGGAAACCGCGTTGTGGACAGTGAGAGTAGATATTTGGTTTGGCAAACAAAAACAATATCATCTTTTTTGGAAACACAACCATACTGGGGGAGTAATTTCTAAATTAAAATAGAAAATGATGTAGTTTAAAAAATATAAAAACCCAATAAATAGAAATGTAACCAGTATCATTTATTTAACAAATGATTACACAAAATTCAACAGTTATACAAAAACAATATGACTTAAAAAATTATATAAAATATTCATTAAATAGCAACATGCACAAATTTGGTAGCTGGGTTTATAAACCTATTTAACAGTAAATAGTAACTCAGAAAATTGCACAACCTACATAAATACTATTTCATTTTGAATGTAATCCATGTGAAAACAAAAAAACAATTGTAAAACAGTACGTGATGGAAATAGAGAAGGTGTATCATGGTCACTTATGCAGGGTGTCCTCCGATTGACTGAAAAAGGATTTTTTTTTGTCTTTTTCAGTTTTCAGTTGTTTCAAAACTAATAATCCAAACAAAAGTCGAATAATGACAAAAATGTAAAAAATATTTTATTAAAGCAAAGAAATATTCAATTTCTGTTTAAATTATTATTTTTGAAACAAGCAAAAACTTTTATGAAGAATAACATTTTCTCCAAAAGTTGAAACTAAAAAAGTTTTTTCTCTTTTCCAGTCCATCCGGGGATACCCTTTATTGTTATTGGTAACGATAATATTAAAAAATGACATGCTACATTCATAGGCACCTTGCAGAACTTTGGCAGTGCGTCTCGAATAAAATTTACAATTTTATTCCATTAGACAATTTGATGAACTGTTTTAAAACCCAAAGTTAGTACTCAAAACTATACAGCGTCTAAAATGGCTTCATTTCGGTTATTTATTAATATAATAAACACCGATTGGTACGAATTTTAGTTGAAAGATTGCATTACGTCAAAGAATACGCTAGATAGAAAATCTAAGACACTTCAGAAGTATATAAAAATCCTATTGCGGTATATTTTTTCCACCTTTGAAAGGTTTTGTAGGAGTCGGACGGAAGACTAAACAGTCTGATTTGACATTAATGACAACTGACACAACCGTAATATTTAAAAAAAAAGAACATTTATTTATGAGTTTATTATTAACACCTACTAATAATGATATATTCACAATAAATCAGACTTTAAGGGACTTCTTAAGCGTTCCTAGACCTTTGACAGCAATCTGCACAGAAATTACATTAATGTAATTTCCAAATATGAAATATTTTTACTTTTAAAACTAATATGACTACTACTACAAATCTAGGTAACAAATAGGGTTTTATTTTAATTATTGTAACTATTTATTTTAAAAATGTTGCTTGAGTAACTCAAACTGCAGTTATGGTGCCATTTGCCTGGCTTATTCTATTCAGTAAAAATTTACTAACAAAATAAAATGTTTTTTTTTTATTATTTATAAAATAGAATGGTTAACGGTTAGTATGACTAGGTGTAAGTGTGCATGTCGCCAAATTTGAACTAAAAAATATTTCTATTCTGACTACGTATTCGCAAAACTAACAAAAATCATTAATTAGCTATTTCCTGTTGGATCGCCTGCAATTCCTGCTCTTCGATCTCCTCGTTTTGTCTTTTCTCAATTTCAGCCTTAAAATTTTCAATATCTTCTTGACTACAACAAAATTAAAACGCTATAGAACACTTAATTTCAAATTTGGTCAAAAAAAACGTACCTAATTTGGACAAACAGTATGCCATTAATGACATTCAGCATGTCTAATACAGATCCCATGGAAGGCGGTTGAATTTGGATGGGCGGAAGTGAGGCGCCATTTTTGCCGGTATATATTTCGTTCATCTTCTTCTGGAGTACCACAGCCTGTTGCGTCAAGTGCTTTAAGCACTCCGACGATTCTTTGGTTTTTTCGTGATTCTC